TGTTTCTTTGGGACTTTCTCTCCCTCCTGCCTGGGGAGGTGTTCCCTTGCTGCTTTAATTCAGGGAACAGAGATTGGAACAGAGCTGGGGGTTTACCCAGACAGGCTTTCACATAATCCATCTCTTTTTCAGCCACTCTCTTCATCTCCATCCTTGCTCCCTTGTGTTGCCATGACTGGAGGTTGCCACTGCATCCTCTAGAGAGAAAGCCTCTAGCTTCTTCCCAGTGGGCTGTGGGGAGGCCTGGCTGTGTTGGCTGGGGAGAGTGGATGTGCGGAGCCTCACTTCCCCATACACACATTTCCAGCCAGTCCCCGGTTTGCAACGCAGGATTCGTCCCAGACACCTCCAAGTACTGAAGCTCAGCCTGGGGTAAACCAGTCGTGCCCCCTCAGGAACCCGCTTTGTGGCTCTGATGGCGGGGCTTCCCTCATTCTGCCAAGCCCCCCACCCCGGGTCTAACCCCGTCTTCAGGATCTGGTTGTCATCTCTCATCTGCTGTGTCTCTCCTTCCCTGCCTTTGTCCTTGAGAGTTTATACCCGTCTTGTTCCTTTGCTGTCTTTTAAGGAGCATAGGGAGTGAGGACATATAAAATGTGTCAAAAGTGTTTTTTTAAATAACATTTTGTGAAGGTCACTTGTTGAAGGGACAGTTGTTAAGACTGTTTGGGAGGGCTTTAGAAGAAACGTAGGCGAGCGAAACCTGAGGAGATGAGGAAAGTGGGGGCTGTTATGTCCCCGCTCTTTCAACAATCAAAACCACCTCCTGCCCCGGGCTCTCTGCTCAGAGCCTAGCGTGGGAACGAGCTGGGCTCTGATGCCTTTAAAACAGAAGAAGGCACTGAAGGGGGGAAGGGCATGCTGGTGCGCTTGGTGGACTTGACTGCCGACCCCTCCCTGTGATCAAGCCTGGACTAGGGAAGGCTGCTTCCAGAGAGAGGAGGAGACAGACAAGAGTCAAAATTCAGGTGCCTGGCCCCTGGCAGGAGGTTTGAGGGGAGGAGGTCTGCTCTGGGGATTGGTGGCTTCACCGGTATTGTTAATAAGAAGTCAGGAGAGGGAAGCGATGGAGTTATACTCACTGCCAGACCTGCTTCCCAAGACAAAAAGGAAGAGGGTTAGCGTGCCCCACAGTGGGCTTGAGAAAAAGGAGAGGCTGTAGTGTACAGGAATATTGTGGTATGTGGAGTTCGAAAGAGTCTGACTCTTGGTGCTATAGCTGTCCGGCTACGTGACCTTGGGCACACCACCCAGTCTCTTTGAGCCTCAGTTTTCCCTTCTACACAATGGGGATAACATTGCTCACCTCATGCAGCTGTTGTAAGGATGAAACGGAATAACCCTGTGCTGGGCACACCATACGGACTCAAACATTGCTTATTATTTTACTGAGAGTGATCCTAGAAGCAGAAATTCCCCTGCATACCTCCCAGCCACACCCACCGTGTTCCTTTGCATAGGGGCATGAGACGAGCTCCCTACTATTATAACAGAGTTACCCTAAGCTGTGGAACCTGGAAAGAGACCCTCTTACCTCCCCTTCTCCCAACAAAGGGTGCCCATGCCTTCCAGGGTTCCCCACTCCCCCGCCTTGGGGACTGTCCAGAGACACCCCAAGAAGGGGAGGATCTGAGTGCCCCCATCTCCACGTTTTGTGGCTCTGGTGCCCTAGCTGTCTGAGCCCACCCAGAAAGTCTAAGGAGGGGATGGGAGTCCCTGGTGCCAGCAATGTTTATAGCCACTCACAGCCTCCAACCTGGGCTGCACCTCGTCTCCCATCCAAGGGGCAGGTTCAGAGCTAGGCTGGGAGCCTTGTGAACCCAAAGAGCGCTTCCCAAGACGTGGGCCAAGAACTGCACAGCCCAGCATCTCACAGGCAGCAGTCCCGGGACAAGGAGCCTGGGAGAGGCAGACCCAGCTCTCCCCCCGCTACCTGCTGAATCAGCTACAATGGACATCCTGGAGGGACTTGGGTTGCAGTGGGAGCTGGTGAGGCCCAAAATGTAGTTAGAAGGGCCCACCCCACACACAGGGTCACGCAGACACATGTCTGTGTACATGCACACAGTTTCTCATGTTTACCTCTCTCACATACCTGCAGTGTGCTTCTTATTAGCAGAGGACATGTTCCACTCCCCTGCCCCTGAAGCAATGTGTACACACACACATGCACACACACCCCCTTCTATCTCCTATCTTTCTAGACCTAGACTCTGAGGAAGGGTTAGAGGGGGTCACAGGGAATTTTGTAAAATGCGTCTGGCTAAGAGTAGATTTCACAGACCCGTCAGCTTCTTCCTACCACACAGTCTTCACCGAGGAAAGACTGGTGTAGGGAGCAGGAAAATAATTCACTTCACAAACCAGGCACTGGGTTTATGAGTCTTCTCCCTGATGCAGAGACACCCCAGGCTGTTTGAGGGGATGCAATGCCCTTCCAAATAAAAACAGCACCCCTGTCATGCCATGCTATGACATGAGCTCACTGCAGTATCAATAATTTGAGTGGCCCTGGGAGCAGTTTCAGGGTAGAGATGGGCTAGGACAGGTTTTCATGTTTCCGTGGCAGCCTATCTCATCGCCATAGCAACAAGGTTCTAACTCCATTCTATGGAGCCCCGGTTTCCATAATTGGTGGAACACTGTGACGCTTCACAGGATGGTGAGTGATCCCCGTAATCCTTATGGGAAAGAATGTTTCCATCGTAGACCAAGCAGAGGTAGCTTGAGGTGGTCAAATACGGCTGAGTTTTTTTGTGGGCAGAAGGAAGGGTTTCTGGAGTTTCCCTACTGACAAACTCTACCCTTTTCTACAGAAATTCCAACTCCCCAGATATTGGGGGCCCCTCTAAAAGTCCCCACAAGGCAGGTGCGCCTTTCCTGTCCACCACAGCTGAGATGAAAACCCTGCCATTTCAGAGAGACATGACAGTGCGGGGGCGGGGGGAGCCCAGCTCTGGAGCCGGAACCCTGATTAGGCTTGCCTCTCATTGGCTGTGTGCCTTGTGTGAGTTATCTTTCGGAACCTTAGGGTTTTCACCTGTGAAAATGGGGCTACCATGCCAAGCCCCCTGGATGGTTACAAGGATGCAGAGGAGTGAGCGGTTTGTGTAAAGTACTTGACCTACCCAGGGCCTCTGTGGGGAGACGGGGATGGATCACCCAGGTCACCGTGAACACCCCTTGCACATGGAGTGGGACTTCAGTGTCTTGGGGCTAAACACCAGCACAGGGCTAACTGTGGGGCTGCAGTGATATTTAAGCCTCCGTGGACAGGACAGTTGTTGGCATCGTCTTCCAGATGAAGCTGTCCAACTGGCTGAAAACTTCCTCAGAGAAGGGGAGGCTGCTTAAGCCATGTGCCTCTTGCTGGCCTGGATCAGGGCCACTCAAAGTGTGGGCTGCGGCTCAGGTCCCTCTGAAAGATGTTTGTTACCCATTCATAGTGGGTGAATCTAAGAATTGAAGAGGACAGCATTCAGAAATTTTTATAGAAATCTGATTTTTTTTTTTTTTTGGTTACTGTTCAAAATCATGTTTGTTTGATTGTTTAACCCTTCTTCCTCCCCTCTCATCCCCATCCCTCCCCCTCCTCCAAGAATATAAGCTTCCTGGCATTTTGCAGGTCCTGACAAAGAGGTAGCAGGCCGAACTGCTGTCCCTGGACACTTGAGCCTGGCCTGCCAGCCCCTCCTCCCGTGGTCAGACTCTTCCAGTTGATGTGCCTGCCCACAGACATGGGAGGAGAAGGCCTTGGGAGAGCCCATGACTGTTCCCCAAACCGAAGACCTCACAGGCACTGTTTTTCAGGGCTCCTTCGGCTTCAGGAGCATCCTGGGGGCAGAGTGGGCTGACTGGGGAGGAAGCTGGGCAAGGCGCCCCCCACCCAGACAGAGGGCCTCCTGGGTCAGATGGGGCTGGCTGTCCCCACAAAACAAGGTGGAGGTCTTCATTGAAGGGGTGATGGGTCCCAGGTGGGAGCTGGGGGCCTGGGGCAGCACAGGGGTGCTGCCAGAGAGAGCCTTTGCCACAAGCACGGTTGATAATGAAAGTGAGATGAGCTGTGAGGACGGCCTTTTGACGGTGGGCCAGCTTCCTGCCTGAACTGCTGTCCAGGTCCGTCTTAAGGCCCATGATTTGGGGGCTGGCTCTCTGGTCCCTGGGGTCTTCTGAAGAGGCCATTGCTGCGGCCACCGCACCTGGTCTAGCCTGGTCGACCGTCGGTAGGAAGAGTAGTTTTTGGCAGCTCCTGCCAAACTGCCAGCCTGAGTTTTAGGAGGAAGTTCCCCATCCAAGGATGGATCTTTGATATTTACATGATCTGATCCCCTGAATGACATCCCCTGGGAGCTGCAGGAACTGGCCTGGGGGCAATTACAGGATTACTTTTGTCAACAAGATTGTTGTTGGGTCTTTGGGAGAGAGGTCTTCTACCGCACAGACACCATTTCTTCCAACTTCAGCTGCCTCCTGACTTGGGACAGGCCTTGGAACCTTCTCACCCAGGCCTCTGTTTCCCAAACCTCAGTTATTATCTGGCTGCGTCACGAGCTTTGTTGTGTTACGTTTTTTCCTACCTAAGAATTTATGGAATGCTATTTACATAACGTGTCCCTTCTCCAGGGAACCTAAACAACAAACAGTTATTTCTCATAGTTCTAGATTTGGGGAAGTCCAAGATCAAGACATCTGGGCTAGAAATTTGATATTGCTGAAACACCCAAGCAGCATCTAATTTGGGTTTCTCTTTAGTTATTTTTAAATTTTTCACTTTTTTTAGTGAGAGAGGGAGAAATATTGATCTGCTCTGGGAAAAAACAACCTGGTCCTTCACCACCTCTAGTTTGAAAACCACTGCCCTTGATAATATTAAAACCATCTTAGAACCAACTAAAGAGCCATTTGAGGAGAGAAGGGGAACAGCCTCATCAGCACTGCTTGCAAAAGTTAGTCACAAATCACACAGGGGTGGGCAAGCTGGCAGTATTTCCTTTATTGATTCAGGACAGAAACTTCAGGTCCCCTTCCATTGCCTGGCCTGCCCTCCCGCCCTGCGTTCCCAGAGCCCCGGTCAGTCTGGGTCTGGAAGTTCCTTGTCCCTGGCCAATGTCCCAGGGCGCCGCCCTCCGCCTTCCATAGCGCAGGCCGAAGGAGTTCCAGTTGTAGGCAGACAGGTCCTTCTCCCGCTGCACCAGCGCCGCGCCCCGCGGCGCGGGGATCAGGCGGCTGCGAGGCACGCACGGAGCTGGCCTCTGGAACCTCACCGCGCTCTCCCGGGGCGCGCAGCGCAGGCTCTGCTCCCAGGCGGCCGGGAGCGCCAGCGGGCGGAGCAGCTGGCCTAGGACAGAGCCATAGGGAGAGATTACCTGAGAAGCGGCCAGGACAGCCTTCTTGAACACCTGCTCAAAGCCCCGTCCTGTGCTTCCCGTTTGTTCCTTGGCCTCCTGGAGACTCAGAGCTGCGTACCAGTCCAGAGCACCAGCATCTGAGCTTGGTGGTTAGGCCATGTGATCCCCTCTTTGAACATAGCTGTGATTGCAAATGTTTTCCAGAATTATCTTCACAATCTTTTATACAAAATTACTTCCTGCCCTGACCAGTGTGGCTCAGTTGGTTGGGTGTCCACCCACAAAGAAAAAGGTCTCCAGTTCCGTTTCCCGTCAGGGCATGTGCCTGGGTTGCTGGTTCAGTGCCCCGTCAGGCGTGAGAGGCAACTGACTGGTGTTTCTCTCTCACTCCAATGTTTCTCTCCCTCTTCTTCCTCCCTCCCCCTCTTTCTAAAAATAAACAAATAAAATCTTTTTTAAAAAGAAGTTGCTTCCTTTTAGGTATCAAATAGAGTAGAGCCTGAAAGTAAGGAAAACTAAGATATTTGCTAGAGGTTGAGCTTAGCTCACTGCCTGGCCTCCTGCCAGGTCTCTGCATCAGGCTCCTCAGCTGGACTGTGAGCCGTGGGGCAGGTGGGGCCATGTTCATTCATCTCGTCATCTCTCAGTGCTTGAAACAGGGCCTCGATAAATGCTTGTTAACTACATAAAAGTTAATGAAAAGCTTGTAGTTACAGAAATCAAGAAAGTGAAGCTAAGATCATTGTGCCCCTAAAACCCCCAATAATTGTAGCCCCCTAAACAAGCTACATAAGGACTCAGTGGAAAACAAAATTACTGGGGTCGCCCTAACCAGTTCACCTCCCACATTTTGGGTATAATCTCTCCTCTTCATACTGAGGGCTAACAAGGCTAATTTGGAAGGCACTTCACATGCAAGGCGCATTAAGTTCTATAATTTGGCAGTAAGATAGAGTAACTAGCTCTGAGCGTACAATGACCGCAGCCAACTGTGGCAAGAGATTAGTGGAGGCGAGGCCTGGCGTGTGAGCGTGTGTGTTGCGGGGGCGCTTGGCTTTACGGGCCACCCCTCGGTGCCCTGGCATACCTCGGAGGAGAGGAGTGTGGGTATGGCCCGGAATTAGTGATAGTCTTCCAGGAGGTCCCTCCCACGTTGCCCAGGGCCTGGCTGAGATGGGAAGGGGTCATGGTCTCTTTCCCAGTTAGCCCCACTATCCCAACAGTAGAATCACTTCTGGGGCCACCTTTTGTGGCCTCACCTAAAGCCTTTTGCCAAAAACAGTCAATAAACGCAATGCCCCTGGGGCATTTTTGCCCCAGTGGTGAGGTTATTTTCACCCAGAAAGGACATCTGATCCCAGGAGAGAAAACACTCTTGGCAAAGGACGCTGGGGGCCGTGTTCTCTTTGTTCTGGAATATTTTATGGGCACAGTGATATCACATGTGCAGATATGCTCCACGCTCCAAGTTCCATAGCTAGAGGAACTGCGGTCCAAGGAGGCTAAGTCACGCTTCTAGTTTGCCCAGAAAGCTGAACCAAACCATGTTAAACCCACAACTCCTGACTGGGGGAATGGCACCGTTCTAGCTTGTGCCACTCAGAGACACCCTTTTGGGGAACCCCTGCGCTTGCTGGGCTTCTGTAGCATTTGACTGAGTGGGGAAATGTCTTTATTCTTTGGCCTCAGTTTCTCCAGCTCATCAGTACCATTGCAAACTCATAAGGTTGACAGGATCTGCCCTTTTGTTTAGGTTCTCCTCCCCGCCCCAAACTCCCCATAATGGGGCTGAGAACACCGATGAAAGAAACTTGCATAGTAAATTCTTTCTCAACATATCTGCCCAGAGAGGTGATTGGCATGGAGTGGAGAGCACAGTATGGGAAAACCCGGAAGGAGCACGGTGGTCAACAGGCACCGGAACCTAAGTGAGCCTCCTGGGCCCACGGCAGGTAAGCCAAGCCTACCGGAAAGGTTAATGGGGCCGTCAAATGAGTTGCATGTACCGGTTTTGGGTTTCCATTAAGTACAATGTTTAACTCATATCAACAGACTAGCCATAATCTGAAAAATGTGGTAAATTTCATTTTGAAAAAACTCACTTGCTCCTTTCTGCCCTTTCTCCCAGACAACACATACCTGTGGATCTAGGGTTCTCCACGGGCGCCACCTTTTCTAATGTTTCCCTGAAGGAGATGGCACAGAGGAAAAGCATCAGCTGCCAAGAAACCAGTAGGTTCATCCTGGTAAGAAGGCGCAGTACCTAGAAGTGCCCTGAGGCCGAGATGGAGAGAGGGAAGAGGTACTAGGTCAGGCACAGGCCTGGGCTGGGGGCTGGGGCACAGCCCCGAGTGAAGGGAGGAGATCGCCCCAGCCCTTGGAGGCCCCAGTGGAGGGGTGAGTCTGAACAGACATATCGTGGAATTAGGACTGAGACCACTTGCACCGTGTAGTCAAAGCTGAGCTCATGCTAGGGGAGGATCATCAGGGAGGGCTTCCTGGCGGCCAGTCAGGGTAGGGAGGGAGGGAGGATCCCCTGCTGGTGGGAGGGCAGGTTGGAAAGCAGCCGGAATGCTGAATCTCAGCGTTGCTTGAGAGGAACGTTGAAGAAATGAGGGGTGAGATATGATGCGTAGGGGCGAGCAGGGAGGGGTCAAGTAAGGCACAGAGTTCCACTGTGCAGAGGACACTGAGGCCCAGACATTTTCTGTGGAGCCTGGGCTCTTCCTGCCTCCTGCTGGGCTCTGCGGAAACCCAGAACTTTCCCTGCCCGACCCTCCCCAGGGGGCTGTGCCTTCACTAGCCTGGCCGGTTTCCTTCCTGCTGCAATAGACAGACTTAATTCTTTCCTTTTTCAAGAAAAAAAGGAAGAGAAGCAATGATCTTGCTCTCTCTGTAGACTTTGACAGCCTGAAGACCATCATTAAATTGTCTAATTGCCTATAATTCAGGGAAAAGAAATCCTTTTCCTGATGCGGCAGGTCACTTGCCTTCGTATTCTGTTCGGCGTGGGCTCTGAGAGGGTTTGAGCTGAACTGACCTCATGTTTTTGGCTGTTGAGATGGGACCTGTGTACCCAGTACCCCAGCCCTCACTTCAACCCCGTTCCCTTTACCCCCCTTCTGCCCCGACCCATCTCTTCCACCTCTGAAGTCTAACTTCTCTTTGAAAAAGTCATCAGACACTTGGAGATTGTCCAACAAACATTATTAAAAACAAATGATGGGAGAGGCAGTAGAGCTGCAGGTGGGGTCCAAAGGGTATGGACTCCAGGTCTAAGGTGCGGAGCCCCTCTGGGGTGGGGTGAGGGGCCAGTGGGCGGTCAGGATTCACATGTGTGCCCATCAGCCCCATCCATCCCTCTGTTCTTGCTCCCACCCCCCATTCCCTCCTGCTCCCTCTAGGACCCAGGCAAGGAGTGGAGGGAAAGAATCCTGAAGTGGGATCAAAAGTACTCAGATCTGCTTCCAGCTACACCCACCCTCCCTGTGAGACAGGATCAAGTCATCCCCATCTCTGGGCCTTAGGCTCCACCTGTAAAATGAGACCATTGGGTCAGAATGGCCACCGACTGTCCCCACAGAGGGCCAGTTATCCTTGCAGACTTTGATTCTGTGACACCCTGAACCCCAGACCATGGCTTTCTGCACCTGCCTTAAGGTGGGGCAGGAAGTAGAGGCAGGATCAATTCATTAGAGAGAAGAGCATAAAATCATTGTGTGTGTGTGTGTGTGTGTGTGTGTGTGTGTGTGTGTGGCTTCAAACCATGGATGCACAGTTTAATTCAGAAACTATTCCTTGAGTACTGCCTGCTGTATTGGGTGCTAGGGTGCACAGGTGCTAAGACGCAGGGTTGCTGCCTACTGCTCAACCCTCATCTCAATTCTAGCAAGAAATTAACAAGAAATGGACAAGGAATTGAGTCCTAAGGAGACCATTTAAAAATAACACTGTAAATGGCTGGCCAAACGTATGTGAGTACAGGAGGGGTCTTTGGGAGCTTATGGGAGCCTGTCTGGAGGGTCCAGGTGGGTTTGTGACAGGGGGTGGCACCTGAGCCGAGCTTCTGAGCAAGAGTCAGGCAGATGGATGAAGGCTGGCGGGCCAGCCAGGGCTGGGTGTGGAGGGAACTGCAGGCCCTCTCGCCTGCCAGGAGCGTGGGCTTTGCCGGAGAGAGAGTGATGGGTCTCAGGAAGGGCCACGGAGGGGCTTCGCCCCAGAGGGTCTGAGACACAGAGGAATGTGTGTAGGCTTGCAATTCAGATGGAGCATTCCGGCTGCTCTGCAAGAGCAGAAAGGTGAGTGAGGAAGGGAAGAGTAGGCAGGCTGCGTGGTTAGAAGGCAGGGCGCCTTCTGTGCTCCTCTCACCTCACCCCCTCGCCTCCTCCCCACCACAGATAGCGCGTACCGTGGCGCCGTGTGAGAGGTCTGGTTTTCCCTGCCGCTGAGGTGTACCGCTCAGTCACACACATGGACACTCACACACACAAACGTATACCCGCATTCTGCCAACTCTTAACACGTATGGCAGAAATGAATTTGCTAGAAGACAATCACCAGCTTCCAAGGGGCCGCAGTAGCTGTCCTGCGGTAGGTGATTTTTGTGGCTCTCCTACCACAGGGGCTTTTGTGCCTAATAACAGGGAAATTGCAGGCACAGCTGAAAAGCTTTTGAAGTAGGTTGGCTTCGCTCCTGGGGCGGCTGCCTTCTGGGGTGACCTTCTTAGTGCAGGGGTCGAGCAGGGTGTGAGGGGCTCTTTCTCTGGGTTTGTATTTGCCATCCATAAATTGGAAGAACTGTTCAGAGGACACCCGTTGAGCTCGTGAGCCCTGAGTGGTTCCCCAGCTCCCTCCAAAGGTTCCTGCGGCCTCTAGTCGCAGCCACAAAGTTCATTCAATAATTGCAATGAATTGCATTTCATTCACTACAATTACTCCTGCCACAATAAGAGGTGTCCTTGAGAGGGCCCTGACTTCACCAATAAAATGCAGGTCAGTGTATTTACACAGACATCCCAGACTAATCTGGGCCAGCCTTATAATCGGCCCTGATCAGGCCCCCTTTGCCTGCCTGGGACACATCAGGCAGTCTTGGAACTAAGTTCCTGCTCCCGTCTGGGGAGCCTCCTTGGATCTGAGCAGACCCCTCCCCAAGTGTGGATGCCCCAGTGCACCTACCTGGCTCTGTCCTGGGTCCCGTCCGGGGTCCCTGCAGGGTGCGAGCTCCGTAGGGTCTCCGGTGATGACACTACTTAGGTAAATGAACACCCGTAGGGAGGGGAGCTGGCCTCGCTCTTGCTAGATCTCTGATCACATCCCTGTCCCTTTTATAAAGCCCAGGGTGACGTCGTCAGGCATAGGCCTCCCATTGTCTCCCCCTCCCTCCTCCTGCAGGGAGATCACTGTCTCCCGCCTCCTGGCTCTCATGATGAAATCAGCCTCTTCCTTCCCCTCCAAAGCCCTCCAAGACTGCCCTTCTGAGTTCTTTCTGTTCTCCCCCTCCTCCTGGACCGACACAGTAGGAGACCCACTGTGCTCCAGTCTAAGTGGAAATGGACTGTTTGAGGAAAAGTATGGTGAGGGGTCATTATGAAATGGCCCCCCTCCAGACCAGAGCCACTACCACACCCAGTGTGAAGTGAGCATCATGAAAGGGAAGAGGGAGAGGAGAAGGCCCCAGTGGGACCTAGGAGCTCTGGGTTCCCCGCACGTCCCCAGCTCTGGCCAGCTGGCCTTGGGTCTCAGACTAGGGTGGGGGGAATTCCTTCCTTTTTCCCCTCTTCCTTCCCCAAACAGTTATGGGGTACTTACTCCACACAGGGTTCTGAGGAGAAGAGGACCTGGTCTCATGGGTAAGACTTGTAAGCAGCTGTCTAAGAAAGCAGGATGCAGTGGTAGCTCTAGAAGGTGGATGTACCTGGGAAGTGCTAAGCGAACGTAGAGGAGTAACTTTCAGGAGACAGTGAATCAGAAGGTGCTCCTCCCTCCTTTGTGTCTTCGGCACCCGTGACCGCAGCATTTTGTGATTGCGGTGTACCCCACATTAAAGGCAGGGACAGATCTCCTTCTCTTTGTACCCTCAGCACCCACTTTATTGCTCAGTACAGATATAGAGGGCCCTCAAAGATATTTGCTAAATGTATATGTTGCAGTGGACTCTCATCTTTTTCTTGGGCCTGCTATAAATGCTCTTTACCCTGGATGAGAGGCTCCGTAGGACAGAGACGATTCCTTCTGTTGGACCAGGGCTCTCTGAAGGCAGAGGCCATGTCAACCCTCAGACAGGAAACTCTCCCAGCACAGGGACTACCTGGTGGGGTGCACTGTGCAGACGTCCACCTAATGGTTGAGAAGCACTTCCTGCCAGTACACAGGATTTATACCCATCTCTTGTGTAATGCCTCCTGCTAACAGGGGCTTACAAACACATTATGTCACTCATCAGGATAAAAACGAGCTTATAAGGGCAGGCCTACCGCTCACAAAATGGAATCATGTGTACATCGGCCTGCCCTGAGTCAGGAGATGCACTTAACAGGCTAGAGACACTGACTTTGAGTGTCAGACACACTCGTAGCTTGGGGATTTAATCTTTGCTTTTTCTCCCATAAATACAGAGAGGGATGTGATACCAGCCTCAGTCCGATATCTGTGGGGCCCTGGGTCTCTGCTGCCAACAATCCTGATGGCTTCTGGAGTTGACTTGGGAGTTTGAGGTCAGTGACCCAGCGGCATCCTTCCTTCTGGGCTTGGAGAGGTCCGGGTGTGCCGGGTAGATGACTCAGTGCAGGGTGTGGGCCTGAGAGGTTGGCCCCATTTCCTTTCCAGCTCCCTCAACCAATAATCCAAGTTCAAGGAGCTCATCTCTGCTATTCAGACCATTGAGCTGGTGCCTTGAAGCCTCTGGAACAGCTGTGGGAGCAAAGAATCATTACTGCAGACAAAGAGTGGAGAGCAGACTCAATATCTAAGTTATTACAAAGCTGGCCTTGAGAGGTCGGGGCTGCGCCAAGCGCAGATGTGGAGAGGGGTACAGGGATGTACCCAGCTGGCGGAACATCAAGATGCTGGCTGTAGGGCCTCGCTGGGCTTCTCAGAGAGCTCGTGTTCTGTCAGGTGCTTTAGAGAAGGGTGAGGGCAAGTACTGGGGACCGCTTCTCCATGTCTGTCCCAAGGAGAAGCCAGAATCTGCCACCGCGTTTCCTGCTGTCATTAGCCGTCATATATCGTCTCCTTGTCCAGAGCCAGGTCCCCAGAAATCTCTGCCATTTTCTGGCTGGTCACCTAGACTCTCTGAATCTCTGTTTCATTGGCTCTAATAAGGAGCTATTAATAGCCATCGTCCTCTATACCCATCCCTTAGGCACAGCTGCTCACGGTCCGTCAGCCTCCTCTGCCCTTGTCAAATGGAGATGAGTCAGGGAGGGAAGAGGAGCTGAGGCAGGCCAACCTTGGGGAGAAAGTGCAAGGGGAGATGGGACGGGTCCACTGCACCTGGCACAGCAATTTTACCAACTCCCTTTGCTTCCCCCACCCCAAGACCCCACCACCAAGCCACATGCACAATGTACTTACCGCACTCAAAAAGGGGATGTTAAAGGCATTGCCCAGGAAGCCAAAGGCAACGGGGAAAAAGCCCCTAGAAACAGAGGGTTAGAGGGAGGGGTCAGTGATGGCCTGGGAGGGGCGGACAGAGGGTAGCAGGGCTGAGATCCACTGAAAGGCCCGTCTTTGGCTCCCAAGGGAGAGGCCCCCAGGCACGGGGCCAGGCTTGGTTCTGCGCCCCTGGTGTTTTAGAGGCAGTCAAGTGGAGTGCTTAAGAACGGAGGCCTGGGGTCAGACTCCGTGGGTTCTAGTCTTGGCTCTACCACTTACCAGCACTGTATAAACTTGGGCAAATTCCTGAATCTTTCTGGATCTCTTTACAGCTGTACAATGTGGTTAATAATAGTATCTATATCCCAGGGCCTTAAATGAAGAAATACTTGGGAAATGTTTGTTTTTTATTATTGTTACTGTCTTCTCCCCAGAATGGGTGTCACCAGCTGCTGCAGGTCCCCTGGGCTCCAGGCAGGGCTAGGTGTTGGGGGCTGTGCTCCTGTCTGTTCCCCCTCTTGCCTCGGCCTCCAACTTTCGTCAGACACACCCTACAGGGCCCGCCTGGGGACGCAGGTGTGATCCTTCCAAGGGGCACCGAGGCTGAAGTGGGAAGGGAGCCCTGTGTGTGGCAGAGAGGTCAGGGGGTTGGGAATTTGAATTCTGCCTGGCTTACTGCCTTTTCTTGGGCCACGGTTCCCTGAGGTTCACCTGCATCCCACAGGTCTCTCGTAACTCTGACTCCCCGCCCCGCCCCAACAGTGCTGTTGTACGATGTCTCTGACCAGGTTGACTTTGAGTTTGAACTGCTGGATCTGCAGTGTGGCCCCACACACAGTCCTAAGCCCTCAACCCAAAGTCTGAGTGCCTGTTGTTAGAATTTGTCTTCCCTACTAAATTGCAAGTCCTTAGGAAGTTACTCTCTGTTTAGCACCATGTGTCCAGACCTAGCCCTGCATGGGGCACATAGTATGTGCTTTTTATGTATTTAACTCTGAGAAAATGCCTGAATATTAAATAAATGGATGGCAGAACATGTGTGAGAAGAGTTTATTTCTTGAGGCCACGCTACATGATGTTTATTGGGTCTCGGCATTCGGGCTAATCAGGGTGATTTCAAAGCTACACTCAGCAGACTCAGGGCTCGTGTGAGAATGGAGGGGTTCCTGAGCCCAGCTCCTTCCCATGATTCCATAGGCTGGATTCTTCCAGCTCCATCACCCACATCCCACCCCTGTTCTCTCCACAGCACCACAGAGACACTGGGAGTCTTCCCTGCTACCTCTACCTCCCCCAGGGCCTTTTCCTTCTCCCTAAGTGCCCTCCAGTCTTCTCTTAGGCCTCGCCCATCCTTCAAAGGCCTATCTCAGGTCCTGCTTCCCATGGGACACACTCCGGCCCTGACAATGGCTACTGGTCTTCAGTGAGTCCCACCGTGCCTTTCACGGGGTCCAGGCTGACATGGGGCAGGCCAAGGGATAGAGAGCTAGGAGCCAAGGACAGTTGGATCAAGTTCAGAACCCTCTGCACACTGCCTGTGAGACCTCGGGTGGGGTAGCCTCTCTGAGTGTCGGTTTCCGTATCTGTAGAGGACAATCCTACAGTGGGTTGTGGAGATGGCAAAGTGAGGTCATGATGGTGAGGGTGCTGGTGCATATTCAGGGCCCAGCAGATGTTAGCTCACTGCCCTTCCTCCCCACCTGGCTCACTGAACCTGAGCGCAGGCTTTGTGTGTCCTCCCTGGTGACGGGCACAGTGCTGGGCACCAGGCAGGTGCTCAATGCGTGCTGGTGGATCGGCAGATCATTCCAATTTACCCTCCAGCCTGCTGTTGGAGAGGGGCCTTTCCAAGTGTCTGCCTGATGCCCCTCCCTATGTTCAGTCCTTCCTTGGTTCCCATCTCTTGCAGGATAAGTCCAGCTTCTGCACACACACCCTGCTGGTCATGCTACCCAAGCCTGGTGGGTCGATCTCAGCTACTCAGGGGCCCCAGTGTCCACCCAGGGGAGAGGGATCTGCACTCACTTGAAAAGGCGAAAGAATCCATAGGTTTCTAGAAACATGCCCAGGAGGGGCCAGCGCAGGAGCACAATGACCACACCCCCTAAGAAGAAGCCGGTCCCCTTAAGCTTGTGCCTCTGGAAGAAGAAGAAGAACATCCTCCTCAGGCCAATGATGAGGGAGAGGCCGGTCAGGAACAGCAGCTGGCGGGGAGAGAGAGGGAGAAGAGTGTGAGCATGAACAGCCTCCTCCGCAGCCCCCGCCCCACCTCCTCCCCACCTGGGCCAGGGCCAGGCCTGGAGCCGCCTCCAGGCGTGGGGTGGGACTTACTAACTCTTTGAGGAGGGACAAAATCAGACAGGGTAACCCAGCCACGTGGCAAAATTATGGAGGCTTCAATAACTTGAGCTTGTTAGGAATGAAACTGTCCAGAGGGAGGGGGCTGGACAAAGAGAACTTCGAAGTTCTCTGGTTTCTCACCCAATTCAGCCCTATTTCTTGGATCCCAACCTGTTCTTCATATATGATTTCATTTCTCGTCACACTCCCAAGGAAGCTGGGATAGGCAGTGAGATTCTCTCCACTTTAGGAAGGTGAAAACTGAGGCCTGCGTAGGCCGGGCAGCATGGGCCCCAGGCCCTCCACGGTCGCGCCCTGACACCCTTCGGCCTCGCTCCTAATGATCCCTTAAGAGCGAGTGCCCATGTTCCTGTCAAATGGGACTTCCAGCATGTTCTGTCCACCTGGAAGTGCTTTGTCTAACCCCAAACCCATTTTCCTTTTCCAAATTCCTTCTCATCCTTCTCCAACTGGGTATGCTCTCTTCCCTCCAAGCACTTTGTTTCATGTTAAATGTGTTTGTCTTGTGGTGACTTTGCTGCACCCCTGCCTTCCTCCCTAGTCATGTATGTTTGTGTGACATCCTTATCCCTAGTCTGTGGGATTCCAGTGGAGGGACAGTGTGTGATTCCCCTTGGCACCCCCAGGGCCTCACCCAGAGCTTGGCGTGAGGATCCAAGTCCTTAGATTCTCTGCCCAGCGGAACCTGCTGTCCATCCCCAGCCACCTCGCCAGCCGAGGCTTAATGGCACCTGACCCCTGTATGGCCACAATCAGAAGGAACTTAGGGCTGACCGCAGCAATAGAGATCCTAGATAGGAAAGGGGCAGTCCACAGGTGAGGGGCACTCACGTTTCCGAAGGCCAGGAGCACAGAATCAAAGTACAGGAATACTCCAAAGAGGATGAAGAAGATGCCAAAGCCGGTGATGCCCACACCAATCTCTGCAACAGTCAAGAAGGCTGTGATGGGATGGATTCTGGGGAGAGGGTGGGGACAGGTACCCTCTTTGGGGGGGGGGTGTCACTGAGACTCCATTCCCATCAGCTTCTGTGCTGCCAGGGAATGGCAGGGCAGGAAGGGAAGGATGGGCATGAATGTACATTCAGCACCTGAAAACTGCTGGTCAGTTCTTCACATCATGGCATTCTGTTTTCGCAACAACCCTATGAGGTGGCTAGTGCCACCACTTCCATTTTCTCCTTTCTCTTGGCTTCCAATGCTGCATTATCCAGATCAGGGTTGGGCTTCTGGCTGAACACGGCCATCTGCCTACACCAATCCTGCCCGCCTGAAGTTGGGAGCTGCTAATGCCCAACTCACAGTCAAGCAACTGACAACTCACGGCCACCAGCCCAAAAGGTCTCGAAGCCCCCTGGCTCTCCTGCCTACTTCTCAAGAGGCTAGCCCTCCTAAACACCTCTTCATACCTCCTCCCCGCTCCCAACTGTCCCTGTCCTCAGCTCTCTGGTGATGACTTCCCACGCTTGTTTGTAAAACAAGAAATCATCAGTCAGCCTTGTGCTCATCTTTCCACCTGGAGTCTAACCCTGGGCGCACCTGCTCCCATCTCCTCCCTTCCTCCTGCAGCCGCTGCCTTGGGCGCCACCGCATGTCCCTGAGCCTTGTACTTTCAGCCACAGTGGCCCTGCAGTTCTGCACAAGATTGGCCCCCGCTGACAGCGCCCCAGCCCGGGTTTGTGTGTGCCACTTCCTTTGGCTTTGTGTTTCCGGGCATTCTCTGAAGCTGTAGGAGTTTGCTCAGAGCCGGTCAGTACAGCAGAAAAGGGCAGGGTATTAAGGCCCCTTTGTTAGTCAAGGGCTCCATTTTTGACATTTTGATACATATTTCAGATTGCTCTCCTCAGGAAGAGTTGTAACAACAATGGGATATGAGGTCCCTTTTTTTCTTAAACCCTCTTCATAACATGGAATTGTTAATTTTACTTATTTGTGCCACTCTGAGTCAACAAATGACAATTCATTATATTACTTCATTTTAAAATCGACCTAAATTGAAATTTTATTTTAGGTTGTGATAAAATACACATAAAATTTGCCATCCTAACAATTTTTAAGTGTACAGTTCCGTGGAAATTAAGTACATTCACATGCTGTCTTACCATCACCACCGTCCGCCTCCAAATCTCTTCATCTTGCAGAACGGAAGCTCTGTCCCCATCACACGCTCGCTCCCCAGTCCTCCCTCCCACAGGCCCTGGCACCGCCGCTCTGCTTTCTGTTTCTGTGATCCTGACTCCTTTGGGTGCCCCACAGAAGGGAAGTCCTACAGTATTTGTCATTTTGTGACTGGCTTATTTCACTTAACCCGATAGCCTCAAGGTTCATCCTTGTTGTAGCACATGTCAGAATTTCCTTACTTTTAGGGTTGAATAACATTCCACTGTATGTATATAGTACATTTTGTTTTTCTGTTCATCTGTGGATGGACACTCGGTTGCTTCTGCCTCTTCACTGTTGTGAATATGCTTCTATGAACATGGGTGAACAAATATTTCTTCAAGACTCTGCTTTCAATACTTCTGGATATATACCCAAAATTAGAATTATTAGATCATATAGGAGTTCTATTTTGAATTTTTTGATGAACCACCATACCATTTTCCATAGCAAGTGCACCATTTTACATTCCTCTCAGCAGTGCACATAGGTTTTGCTTTCTTCACATTTTCACCAACACTTGTTATTTTGATTTTGTTTTGTTTTTGATAGCATCCATCCTAATGATTGTGAAGTAGTATCTCATTGTGGGGATTTCTTTCTTTTTTTTTTTTTAAGAGCTAGGTCAAGCTTTTTTTTTTTTTTTTTTTTTTGAGGTGGGGAAGGGAGAGGGAAAGAGAAGGAGAGAAATATTGATCTGCTGGACCCCGACTGGGGACTGAACCTGCAACATAGGCATGTGCCCCTACTAGGAATCCAGTCAGTGACATTTCACTTTGCAGAACGATGCCCAACCAACTGAGCCACACCTGACAGGGCTCTCCATGTTGTTTTGATTTGCCTTTCCCTAAAGTTTAGTTACGTTAAGTAACTTTTCATGTGCTTGTTGCTTATTTGTATACCTTCTTTGGAGAAGTGTCTGTTTAAGTCCTTTGCCCATTTTAAAAACAGGTTTTGTTATTGTTGTTGTTATTGAGTTGTAAGAGTTCTTTATATATTCTGGATATTATCAGATATATGCTTTGTGAATATTTTATCCTATTCCATAGGTTGACTTTTTACTCTGTTGATTGTGTCTTTTGATGAACAGAAGTTCTTAATTTTGATACAGTCCCATTTGTATCATTTTTCTTTAGTTGCCTGTATTTTTGTATTATATCCCAGAACTCAGTGTCATGAACCTTTTCTCTTATATTTTCATCTAAGAGTTTTAACTCTCACTTTGAGCTAAAATGAACTTTGAGTTAATTTTCTTTATATATATATTTATATATTTTATTGATCATGCTTGTACAGTTGTCTCATTTTTTTCCCTCCACTTTATTCCCCTCTGCCCTGCATCTTCCCCCTCAACCAGCATCCCCCGACTTAGTTCATGTCCCTGGGCCGTACATGTAAGTTCTTTGGCTTCTCCATTTCCTACACTATTCTTAACTTCCCCCTGTCTATTTTATGCTTACTGTTTATGCTTCTTATTCTCTGTGCCTTTACCCCCCATTCTCCCCCCTCCTCCTCCCCTCTGATAACCCTCCATGTGATCTCCATTTCTGTGATTCTGTTCCTGTTCTAGTTGTTTGCTTAGTTTGTTTTTGTTTTTGATTTTTTAGGTTCACTTGTTGATAGCTGTGAGTTTGTTGTCATTTTACTGTTCATGGTTTTTGATTTTCTTTTTCTTAGATAAGTCCCCTTAATGTTTCATATAATAAGGGCTTGGTGATGATGAACTCCTTTAACTTGACCTTATCAGGGAAGCACATTGTCTGCTCTTCCATTGTAAATTATAGCTTTGCTGGATAGAGTAACCTTGGATGTAGGTCCTGGCCTTTCATGACTTTGAACACTTCTTGTGAACCCCTTCTCGCCTGCAAGGTTTCTTTTGAGAAATCAGCTGACAGTCTTATGGGGAATCCTTTGTAGGTAACTGTCTCCTTTTCTCTTGCTGCCTTGAAGATTCTCTCCTTATCTTTAATCTTGGATAATGGAATTATGATGTGCCTTGGTGTGTGCTTCCTGGAGTCCAACTTCTTTGGGACTCTCTGAGCTTCCTGGATCTCCTGGAAGTCTATTTCTTTTGCCAGTTTGGGGAAGGTCTCCTTCATTATTTTTTCAAATAAGTTTTCAATCTCTTGCTCTCTTCCTCTTCTCCTTCTGACATCCCTATGATTCAGATGTTGGAATGTTTAAAGTTGTCTTGAAGGTTCCCAAGCCTCTCCTCATATTTTTGAATTCTTGTTTCTTCACTATGTTCTGATTGAATGTTTATCTCTTCCTTCTGCTCCAAATTGTTGATTTGAGTCCCAATTTCCTTCCCTTTACTGTTGGTTCTTTGTTTATTTTTCTTTATTTCACTTTGCATAGCCTTCACTTTTTCCTCCATTTTGTGACCATACTCAACGATTTCTGTGAGCATCCTGATTACCAGTGCTTTGAGCTGTGCATCTGATAGGTTGGCTATCTCTTCATGGCTTAGTTGTATTTTTGGAGCGTTGATGTGTTCTTTTATTTGGGCCATATTTCTTTGTCTCAGAGTGCCTGTTACGGTGGAAGGGGCAGGGCCTTAGGTATTCCTCAGGCCAGGGCAACCCAGGTGTCTGCATTGTGACGCTGTAAGTGGGGGAGGGGTCTGAGAGGGAACAGTGCTGGTTGCTTGGCTCTTGGCCAGCTTTCAGTCACTTCCCCCACTACCCACAAGCAAATTAGGCCCTTCTGGTGCTGATTCCCAGGTGGGTGGGTTTGCATATGTTCTGGGAGCTTGTGGATCTCTCCAATAGACTCTCCTGTGAGGCTGGGAGTTTCTCCCACTGCAATATCCCCCACAGGTTTTTACAGCCAGAGGTTTTAGACTTTCTTTTCCTGCACTGGAACCCTCAGTTGTGTGGTCGGTCTTGTTCCCCAGTTGTTTCTCTAGGTTTATCCACACACAAATGTTGGACTGCCTGGTCCGCCAGCCACTGCCTCACCCGCCTGGCCCTCCAGCCACCGCCTTGCTGCAGGTCCTCTCCACCCCGGCTGCCCCCTCCTCCCCTCCTATCGGTCTGGATGAATGTTTCTTCTTTAACTCCTTGGTTGTTGGACTTCCATACAGTTCGTTTTTCTGGCAGATCTTGTTATTTTTTTGTTTTTAAACTTGTTGTCCTTCTTTTTGTTGTGTGAGGAAGCAAAGTGTATCTACCTATGCCTGCATCTAGACTGGAAGTCTGAGTTAATTTTCATATGCGGTGTAAGATAAGGGTTCATCTTCTTCTTCTTTTTTTTTTTTGCCTGTGAATATTCAGTTTCCCCAACATTATTTGTTGAAAAGACTACCTTTTCCCACTGAACCACCCTGGCACCCTTGTTGAAGATCATTTGGCCATATATACCAGGGTTTATTTCTGGGCTCTGTATTATGTTTATTGGTCTATGTATCTGTTTTTACGCCAGTCCCACACTGTTTTGATTATTGCAGTTTTGTAATAAGTTTTGAAATCAGAAATTGTGAAACATCCAACTTTGTTCTTCCTTTTAAAGATTACTTGGGATATTTGACATCCCTTGGGTCCAAATGAATTCTAGGATAGATTTTTCTATTGCTGCAAAAAAAAAAAAAAAAAGAAAAAAGAAAGAAAGAAAGAAAGAAAGAAAGAGAAAACACTATTGGAATTTTGATAGAGACTGAATTGAATTTGTAGATTGCTTTGGATAGTATTGACACCTTAACAATATTAAATCTTCCAATCCATGAACACAGAATGTCTTTCTATTTATTTGTGTCTTTTACAAT